CCATGCTCTCGCCCTGCCCGCAGATCGCAGCCCCCCGGAGGAAGAGGACGGAGCGGGCAAGTGCGGGAATCTGCTGCCGGGGGAGGAGGAGGCGGCGGCGGCTCCGAAACCGCGGAAGAAGCGCTCCCGCGCAGCCTTTTCCCACGCACAGGTCTTCGAGCTGGAGCGGCGCTTCAACCACCAGCGCTACTTGTCGGGGCCCGAGCGGGCCGACCTGGCCGCCTCGCTGAAGCTCACCGAGACGCAGGTGAAGATCTGGTTTCAGAACCGGCGCTACAAGACCAAGCGGCGGCAGATGGCCGCCGACCTCCTGGCAGCCGCCCCCGCCGCCAAGAAGGTGGCCGTCAAGGTGCTGGTGCGCGACGACCAGAGACAGTACCACCCTGGCGAGGTGCTGCGGCCGCCCTCGCTGCTCTCCCTGCAGCCATCCTACTACTACCCCTACTACTGCCTTCCCGGGTGGGCTCTGTCCACCTGCGCCGCAGCCGCCGGCACCCAGTGAGAGGCACACATACACACCCCCCTGGCCCCGACACCCCCACCCTGACCCTCACCCCGTCCCCATTCCACCAGCCGAGGACTCTCGTGATTCGGCACAACTTGTTCATGGTATCCATGTTGTCAGTGTATCTGGTGTAGACTTTTTGTTTGTTTGTTTTATTTTGCTTCGGATTGGTAGAGACTCGATCTTGTGTGGAGAAAATGAGAGAGAAAACAAAGGAGAGGAAAAAAAAGTACAACCCGCAAAACCAAATGCAGCTCAAAAGCAGAGATCAAGGACTCCCTCAGTGGATTGTAAGGAAGATTATTTTTGTCGTCTGAGTCCTTGGTCTTCCAACTTGTTGCAAACTTAGTGTGCCTTGTATGGTGCTGAATGTATGGAAGCCTCTTTCAGGTCCCCCTGCTCTTATAGCCCATGTTATTCCTGTGCTCCATGATCCCTGGCAAAGGATAAATATGTCACGAAAGGGTGAGACTTATATTGAAACTCCTGACTTCTTGTTTTCCTTTTTTCCTGAGATCTTTCCGTGTTCGGGGAGGGAGGAGTTATGGATTTTTCGCACTTTCCAGATGTATTAAAGTTGTTGTTATTTTTATATTCAATGTGAATATTTCTAGTCAGGCTTTTTAAAAAATCGATGTAACAGGAAACTTTAATACCATCAGTGCCTTTTACAGTTCTTCTGCAGAGCTCTCCTCCAGGGGTGGGGATTTCTGATCTGCTCAGCAATGTAATTATGGTCTCTTTCTCCCAAGGTAGCTCATTGCTTTTTTTTTCCCCTTCTTTTTTTTCCCCCCTCCATTTCTCTTTTAATGGCACTGTGCACTCAACTAGATTATTTACTTCAAATGAATTGTGAATGTTTGTAAGCTACCCGCTGTACTTGTTTTGTTGTTGTTTTTTTAATTTATAAACTTTAGTTTAACACTTACCTCTGTCGCTTGTGTCGTTCCTGAGAGCAGACATGGATTTCTCGGTGATGTTCAGTGATATTTTTTCCCCGCAGCAGACCTCACAGCTCAGACCACATCCCTCCGTTTCCCACTTGCACGGTGAGGATCGTGGGCCGCCTGACCCGGCTGCACCGGTCAGCGCTGATGTCCGTTCCCTCTGTGGGAGGCGGAGGGGACCCAGGAGCTCTGGCCGGGCGCCTCAGTCCCTCCTTTGGTAGCGCTTGTCCCGGCTGGAGTGATGGCCGTGTGCCGGAGAGCCGGGATCACTGGCTGAATTTACGGGTGCTGGTCGGAGGAGCCACTGGGACCTCGAAGTGCTTTTCCCGGTCCATGGCGGCCCCACCGTGCAGGCTGCGCCCCCTCTATCCGGGCCGTGCTTGTTTAAAACCTTGGCGGATCCTGCCTGGGGAAAGTGCGTGGGTCGGTGGATTGTTTTCTCTCTGCTGGAACGTGGCAGAGAGACCGGGGGCACAGGCTCAGGATTGGGTTGCAAGAGGGGGTGGGCGATCTCGATGAAACTGCCCAGGCCGTCTGTATCGCGACACAGCCGCGATAGCCACTTGGGGCCGCCTCCCTCCTTGCACTGAATCTTCTCCAAGGCTCTGCTGCGAGCCCGGGCCCTCGGCGCGATGCTGGCGGCTCTTCCCCCCGTCAGCCGCGGTCCTCGGGCGTGTCGGCCGAAGGGGAGGGCGGGCTGCCGTGGGATGGGAGCTTCACCCGGGGGGCCGAGGCCGGGCAGTGGCTCTCGGAGGCTCCGGACCCGGTGATGGCTGCAGCTGTTTCCCTGCCCCGATGGAGCCCTGCCCGGACCGCGCTCACAGGCGGCCGCGTTGCCTGGGCGCCGCTGATTCCTCATCACCGCCGGCTTCTTTCCTTTCCCGCTGGTTCGCACGGGCTTTCGCTGCGGCTCCCGGGCATGGAGTGCTTTGCAGGAAGCCCCTGCTGCCCCATCGCTTCCCGGCCGCTATGCCTGCAAGCCGCCCCAAGGTGCAGCCGGGCTGTTTCCCTGTCAGCCCGACCCTCCCTTGCTGTTATTTCTCTTTCCCCAGGCTCGGGCACCCCGCGGGTTAGATGTCTCCCGGCTGGCACCTCCAGCAGCACTCGGCGGCAGTGGCTGCCCGTGGGCTGCCCCAGTCCCAGCACGGGCTGGGGACGAGCTCTCTGTTCCCAAAGCCGACAGCCGTCGTGACACCGGGGAAATGCTTTGGCTTTGGTTTTGCTCTGCCGGGCGCGTCGGCAGTCCTGTAGCCGAAAAGCGTGCTCCAGATGTAGCAGTCCCTTGGCATATACGGGAAGACTGACATTTATTTGGCCCGATCCCGAAGCTCCTGTCCCTTTCTTATTTTTTTTTTATTTTTATTTTTTTTTCTTTTTTCTTTTGGTAACTATTTTCTTCCGATATTCCCAACACTTTACTTTCTGGAAAACCGAAACTTTTGGACGGCAGAATCTGGACCCCCGTGCACTTAGGGAGGTAGAGATGCAACTGCTGCCCTGCAGTTTGCCTTCTCCTGGCCCCTGGGGACGTTTCTCTGCCTGCAGCCCCGTACAAGACACCGAGCCGCTGACCATGTCACGGTCGATGGTACCCCCACACCAGCGGAGGTTTTGTCCCCGGCGAGGGCGGCTTTCAGGCTGTGATTCCTATCGGGCCCTCTGTCCGACGGAGCGGACTATTGCTAAGACTAATTTTCTTTCCCTTTAGGTCATAGTGTTGAATTATTTTGATTAGTGCTTGCTAACCGATGTAGTGCTCCAGGGAACCTCCTGATATAAAAGGGAAGTGATGGTTATTAAAGATTCCTTGGGTTGTAACACTGGGTAAAAGACAGAATAAAATGTCAAACTATTTTCTTATGAGCCAGGTAAAACTAATGTGCATTTTACTCGAGATAGAAGTTGCTGGAAAAGCTGAGCCGAGTAAAGTTGTCCGCAATTTTAGTACTGGTGTTTAATATCGAACATTTATGCATTGACGTATTATGCATCTTCTTTTCATGTTGACAAAATCTGGTATTTGAGAAACGTCAGTATTTGATATTGGGAAAATTTAATCGAGAATTTAATGGATTTTTTCTGGAATTTGAGGCGTTTCTATTCCTGTTTTTCCTTATAATTTTGATTTTTGAAATATAAACTCTCTGCATCCTTTCTTTTCTTTATGGCAAAATCCCCAGTAACATGAGTGTAACTGTACCGAGGCCAAAGGAATTACTCTGTATTTTTAGCGTTTAAGTCATCAGCAAAACCTGGGCTTTAACATGCTCTCTTCACACATCCTCAAACACACATTCAGCTCATCAGCACATACACGGCTGCTACGTAAAAATAATCTCCCTAACGACGTGTCCCAATTTCGGCCTCTCTCACAAACCCCGAATTGTACAGGGACCGTGGGAATAATTTTCCATCTGACCATGGGCAAGCTGTAGTCTTAAAAGAAAATTCTTGCAAAGACAAGGGGGAGAGGGGGGAAATACCGCAGCTCCAAGAAATTCGATTGTTGAAATGTAATGTAAATTGTGTATATCTTTGCATATGTCTCCATTGGCGCTTGTGTTTGTGTATTAAACAATCGCACAGGCGCAGAGTCCAACTCTGCAGCCGGGAGGCTGCCTATATTTAGCTACCTCCCGCTCGCTCGCAGGGTAATAAAACAGGAAACCACGTTGATTTTCCCCCACTCCTCACATACACACTCACACAAACACACTCAGGTAGAAAACAGCGACACTTTCCCGGGAGGAGGAGGAGCAGCAGCAGAAGATAGCGGGGCACAGCCAGCCCCCCCGGCAGTGCAGCACCTGCCCGGCCTCCCAGGGGCTCCCGGGAGCAGAGGCCAAAGGTGGCCCGAGGTTAAGGGCCTCTCCCCGGCAGGCCTTGGCAGGCTTTTTTCCGCTCCGTTTCTCCTGTCAGTGGGACAGGACGCGCCCCGAGAGCGGCCCCGGGCCCGCGGGGGATCCCGGCCGCCTTTCCAGCGGCTCTCCCGGGTGTGCAGCCCCAAACCAGCGGGGCAGCTCCGGGGCGGCTCCGAAGGCAAACATGGGGTCCTCCTCCGGGCGACCAGAAAGCCAGAGCCCGCGGCCCCCGGAGATCCAGGGCACTGCCAGTAGGGTCTCCATAGAGCAGCCTGGCTCTTCCCGAGGTGATGAGAAAAATAAAGGGCAGGTCTTTTTGTCCCGGACACATAATCGGGGATATTACCTCTCCAAACCTTTCCGAAAGCCGCAAGAAAGTGGACTGCTCCTTCGCGTTGTCCGCTGCTGCGGGGGAAAAACGTGATTAACTGGGAGCAAAATGAACCAGGGAGCAAATGAGGCGTTTCCCAAGCGGGTGTCACGGCGGTCAGTGCCGGGACACCGCATGGCTCCGGGACAGACAGCGCTCCCTCCTCCGGTGGGCTCTGCCCGGGAGCCCCGCCGCCTCCTGCGGCATCCCGCAGCGCTGAGCCCGGCCGGCTCTGCCGAGGGACCGCGGGACAGGAGGGACTCTAACCCGCAGGTGGGGCTTGCCGCTTTCCTAGAACATGCTTGATATCCGTGGTGTGGGGGTTTTGTTTTTTGGGTTGTTTTTGTTTGTTTGTTTGTTTGTTTTTGTGTGATGGGTTTGGTTTTTTGAGTTTTATTTGGTTTGGCTTCTGTGGGTTTTTGGGGGTTTTTCTTGGGTTTAGTTCTCTGGGGTTTTTTTTGTTTTGTTTTGTTTTGTTTTGTTTTTTTGTTTTGGTTTTGTTGTTGTTTTTTTTTAAGGGAGGGATGGAGTGGAGAGAGAGGGCGAGTTCACGCCCGGGCCGGCTCGGGAGGAGGGTGTCGCGGTGACTGGGGCAGGCCAGGGACAAGGGCTGTCCTCCTCCACCCACAGCCGCAGACACCTCCCTGGCTCCCTCCTAGACAGGTCCTACGGCCCACAGAGGAAAACCCTGGCAAAGGATGAGGGGTTTGGCTCCTCGGTCCGAGGCCCTTGGGGTGGCAGAAGAACCATCTCTGGCTCTTCCTCCGGTGTTCCACCAGGCCTGTTGATCCATTCCAGAGTGGCTAGACGTGTTTGGCATCCCAAGTGATGCTGGCGATACTCAGGGTGATCCTTGAAAAAAATTAGAGCGGGGAGTGGTGGCTGCAGAGCTGCAGTTTAAGACGTTTTGTGGTTCTCAGGTGCGCCTGTGGGTTCTTGTCTAAAATCTGACTCGGTAATAAAGAGTCCACGGCTTGGGATCCCGAAGGACACGGATGGCAGCCAGCAACACATCCCCTGCTGAAACAGAAACTAGCCAGGGAAGCCTCTCC